AGAGTGATTTTAAAAAAGTTGATTCTGCCGCATTTGATTGGTTGAAAGGGAAATCTCCTATGAATTGTTCTAGATCTCACACTAGTACTTGGCCTAAGTGTGACATGTTATTGAACAACTTATGCTAAAGTTTCAACAGTGGTTATAAAAGCTAGGGATAAGCCAATAATTACAATGTGTGAGATAATCAGATTATTGTTGATGAAGAGAATTCATGTGCAAAGGGATAAAGTTTTGAAGTCTGGAGGTGAAATATGTCCTAATGTACAAAAAATATTAGAAAAAGAGAAGAAAAAATCCCATGAATATATCTTCAATTGGAATGGAAGCCATAAATTTGAGGTTAAAAGTTGGCTTGGTGATAAATTTATTGTTTATGTACAAAATAAAACCTGTAGTTGTAGAAGGTAGGATCTTACATGTATTCCTTGTGTTCATGGCATTGCTTGTATTTTCCACAATAGAGCTAAGGTGGAAGATTATGTAGATAAAAGGTGTACCAAAGATATATTTTTTAAGTCATATGAGCATGTGATGGAACCTGTAAGAGATAGGGAGGAGTGACCAATTTCAAACTTAAAACCATTGGTACCATGGATTCTAGAGACTAAAAAGCTTGGAAGGCCATGCAAATATGCAAGGAAGAAAGAACCAGATGAGTTAATATTGGCAAGAGATTGGGCAAAAATTGAGGAAATGAGGATCTAAGTACATGTGCTCGAAATGTGGAAGAGTAGGACGCAATAAAAGAGCATGCAAGAAGCCACCGCGATCTAGTTTACAAATTAATCACTCCAATCAAAGATCAAGAACTAAACTCCATGTAAGCTACTATATTTTTGTTTTTTTGTACATTTATTTTTTATAATTAAGTTATGTCAAAATTTATATGCCTCTTATATCTCTCAATATGATGAAATTTGTGACCTGCAGGTTAAGAACAAAGTTGCCACATCTAATCAGCCTCTTGATTCAAACATTAATGTTGGTGTGAAGGTCTATTAACACAATCAACATCTTATGTACTTTTTCTTTTTGATCTTTTGTAGGGGTTTACCATTGGTGTTGCATCTTCTATTATGATACACGAATAGGAGGATGGTAGTTTTGCGGTTAAATCTATGCTACACCCGGTGAAGGTTACACCGGGTGATTTTTTACCGTTGATCTACATACACCAATATGGATGTGTGTGTGTTTGTGTGTATATGAATAGTAAAGATCTACCCGGTGTATTTCACCCGGTGTAGCATAGTATAAGCCGTAGTTTTGCGGCTCAGTCAAGTACGGGAAATGTTACTGCAACGAAGACCAATAGCTGATATAATTTGTGAAAACTGTTTGGATACATTTATTTAAGCATGTTGCATGTTTTGTTCTTTTTTATGACAACTAGTATTTTGTTTTCGTGGATGCCAAACACTTATTCTGATGAGAATGGGTACTTCACAATTTTAGTGTAATAGTTAACCTTATTTCTCTAGAAGTTTCTGTTTAAGTTTTTTGTGAGTAAAGTGCAAAAGGTATCCCTGTGTAATATCAAAATAGCAGAAATCCCCCTGTGATAAATAAATTAACAAAACCCTCGGTGAAATTTATTAAATAGCACACTTGACCCATTATTAATTTAAACATTGACCCAAAGTGAAAAGACATAAAAACCCTATGGTGTTTTTTGCAGTTAAAAAAGTATATCATTTATTAGCTATTACAAAAATACAAATGAGATTACAATTCTCTATTAAATATTTTAAATTCTTATATTTATAAATATTTTATTTATTTTATTGTATCTTTTAATCAGAAAAGTAGAATAGGTTTCTTTTTTATTTTATTTTAAATTATCATGTAAGTTCTTTATTTTAAATTATTCGTACACTAAGGTGGTGTTTGCAAATGCCTTTTGAAAGTGATTATGCGGTTTTTTTTGCTCATAATCTGTTTTTAGGTGTTTGGAAAATCAACTTTTGCTTTTGCTTCTCTTAAAATAATCTGCTTTAAGTTATTTTTTTAAAAGCACCCCTAACCCTGCTTTTTCAATTTTAGTTCATTTTTCGAAATATTTGCAAACACCCCCAACTTTTAGAAATAAGCACTTAAAACTAACTTAAATCACAATCACTAACTTGTGCTTTTAAATAATCATTTGCAAACACCACCTAAGTTATGTAGAAACAAAAGAACTTAAGTTTACAAAATTTGATTAAAAAAAAAGTTTACAAAATTATGTATTTATTTATTTTGAATCATCTTAAAAAAAGAAACTATATTTAATTTGATTATTAAAATTTTATAATATTTCAATATAATTAGTTTATAAATTTTTTAACAATAAAAAAATCAGAAGAAAAGAAGAAGATAAGTTGAATCATCATCGTCTTAAATAAATTGAACCCCGTTGCCATCTCTAACAACACCACTATCGTCTTCCCCGTAAGAAATAAAAAAAAAATCTTTCTTTTCGTCCAGATCCAAAAAGAAAATCATGAAATCACAAATTAATATATTTTGAGGGGCAGTTATGTCATTTTAGGTCTAAAAACCCGTCACCAGCTGCACAAATAGCGAGTGTGGCACGTGAAACTGCATTAGGGGAGTTTCTGCCTTTGATTAAATTTCACGGGGGATTTTGGCTAGTTTATTTAGGAGCCTTAAGATATAGGTCCCTGGTGACAAAACTTATTAGAACTAAATGACAAGCCCAACTAAAAATTTGATTCACATCCTTTATAAAATTCATTTCAGAAATACCCCTCCACTCAGTATTAAGTAAATTCAAACTGTATTTATTATTTTTTTGCATTTAATACTTTCAATTTTCCATATAACTATTTTAATTATTTGTTTTACAGAATACCATTTTGTCTTCGTTTTTAATTTCTTTCTTCATTTCAAAATTTTATACAATTTTATGAAAAAACATTTGTTTTCTTTTTTGTACATAACATTGAAAATTACAAAAAAAAACATGAAAATTACAAAAAAAAAAACATGTTTTTCTTTTAATTCAATTTACGTATTTTTTAATTTTAATTTTAATTTTAATTTTTATTTTTCTTCTATCAATAAATATAGTCATCTATAGTCATCTATAGTCATCGTAGTCGCTATCTTCGCTTGTAGACATCTAAAACTTAAATTTCACTTCATCGCACATCCTCTATATATTCACAGTTTGTAGTAGACTGTGGTGTACTGTGATATCCTCTATATATTCACAGTCTGTAGTAGACCATAGTATACTACGTTTAATATGGTATACTATGGTTTACTACGGTGTCTATTCCAAACCCTAGCCGCCAACCCTAGCAGTCAAAGCAACCTCCGCCCAAACCCTAGAAGCCAAAAGTCGCAGCCGTCGCAACCGTAGTCACCTAACCCCTTTTAAAAAATCTAGATCTACAACAAATCGAAAACAATAACAAATCATATCCAAACGAAGAAAAAACTTTTAAAAATCAAGAACATCAAATTCAATTAGTCAAAATATGCTTGCAATTACAGATCTTTATAAAAAAATGAAAAAAATTGATTTGTTTATCCATTTTCATTACCAAATCATTATAAAAAAAATAAATAGAGAAGACCTGCTCCCTAGCTCCGCCACACAATCCCCGCCGCACAACCCCGCCGTACAACCCCGCCGCACAACCTTTCGAAACAACCGCCTTCTCCACCACAGCCTACGCTGGGACCTGCTCCTGCTCCTGCTCCCTTTGTGGCTGCCGTCAGCGGCCTTCATGGAGAGAGAGAGAGAGAGAGAGAGAGAGAGAGAGAGAGAGAGAGAGAGAGGGGAGGGGGTGGGGGAGAAACGAGAAAGTCAGAATAGGTGGGGGAGTTGTTGAGCGGCGTGAGATAGAGGGGAGGGGAAGAGAGAGAAAGAGTGATTTTTATTAGGTATTGTAAGGGTATTTTGGGGTTAAATAAAAAACAAAGGATGTGTATCAATTTTTATTTTGAAATAGGGGTGTAGTTAAAATGTTTTATTTGAGAATGTCACTCATATCTAATTAGGTTTGGTTTGAGGGGTGTGAGGCACATTACCCTGTTTATTTATCACAAGGTTTTTTTTACTATTTAAAAATTACACAGGAGTATATTTTGCCTTTTTTTTTATAGCTCTCAAGTGCACGATAGATGTCCCGCTCGAGAAATGATCATCACTCATCACTGTATTCTAGCTCTCTGCTTTGAATAGCATGATACAACAAGAATAAGGTTTTACTCTGTTCAGTGCACAAACTAATTCCACATTAAACTAGAACCAACAACTGCCAATCGACAAACGAAAAGAGTAAAAAAGTGCCCTAGAGCTCTCCAATACGTTTGTGCATTTTCATTAAAATTGGCATTTCTTAACTCCATAGACAACTCTCTTCGAAAAAAAAAAAAAAAAAAAAAAAAAAAAAAAAACCCTCCAAAGACAGCTTATATACCATCTCAATTATTTTTGAATTCATCCATTTGCTATTAATTTTAATGTAAATGAAATTGATGTGATTTTAATGTAAATGAAATTGATGTGAAAAACTCCAACGAATACATTCCTCTATATACAATTGTTGAAATTCATGCTCAATTTTGGAATATTCAAGAAATATTAGTCTTGTTAAAATAGTATCTAGAATAATCCATAGGACCCAAGGCTAGCTAGAAACTTCTAGCCATAAAAGAATATTCAAGAATAGCTAGGATTGTAAAGAGAATTCTAGAGAAGGACTACTCTAGAAATTTTCTAGATTTATCCATGAAGCCTATAAATAGGCTATGAGCCATTGTAAACAAGCATCAACTAAAACAAAAAAACTAATAAAGCCTTCTCATTCAACTAAGTCCTATTGTCCATTTTCTCCAAATAAATCGAACTATTTCCAAATTACAATTCACCACCTCTCACAAACTAACAGTGGTACCAGAGCCCGTTCGATCAAAAAATTGGGGATTCCCTTCGCTACATATTATTCCTAAAACCACCCTCTATTATTTCATTAACTTACACCATGGGCAATACACTATCCAACAATCAAATTGCTCTTCATATGTTCTTCGGAGAAAATTATAATGAATATTGGTCTATCAAAATGAAGACCTTCTTTAAATCTCCAAACTTAAGGGATATTGTCGACGAAGGGTTCACTACTCCTCCTAGCGACACTTCTAAATTCTCTCAAGTGAAAAAACATAAGTTAGCCAAGGATATGGAAAAAGACAACTTTACACTCTACAACATTCGAATGGCTATGGCGGATCCAATTTTTCCAAGAATTAGCGATGCTACAAGTGCAAAGGAAGTGTGGGATACCCTAAAGGAGGAGTTCCAAGGCAATGCAAAGGTACGAACTACTAAACTTCAAACTCTACGAAGAGAATTGAAGAATATGAAAATGAAGGATTCTGAGACGGTAAATGAATATTATTCTCGAGTAAGGGAATTAGTTAACCAACTAAGAGCTAATGGACAAGATATTTCTGATAAAAGAAAGAAAATTCAAGATATAAGGAAAGAAAATTTGGAGAAAGTTCTAGAAGCGGAAATTCTAGAATTAAAGAAAATAGAGGAAATAATTATGAAGATACGAAATTCAGTTACCCGCCATGTCGGGTCTACAAGAAAACTAGTCATTTTGAAAAAGACACATGGTACTGTTATGGATCGGGCATGTGTACGCAACGGAAAATAATTTTTTTTATTCATACAAACTAGTTTATATAAATAAACACGTGCACATTAATTACAATTAATTGCGTACATTTTCTCTTTCAATCACCGACAAATATGCTCGCATATATAATTTATTTAAATAACATAAATTAAATCATCATAGCATGCTTGCGAAATTAAATCAACTAATAAACATGCTCAACGAATGATTTAAACAAACACATTATCGGACATATAGATTCATATAATTCAATAATCAATTAACATATATTAATATCAATTAATATAAATTAATTAATATATATTAATTAGGGAAAATGATATTTTACCCATGAAACGCGGATCGAACGAAGACTCGAGAAGATGACTAGCTGCTCTTCCCACTCCTACTGATCCAACCTGTTTTCTGATATGAAATTATAGGCCTGCTCCGACTTCAATATCTCAATAATTATCGACTGGATAACAAATTCCTTCTGAGGGATTGTTGATCCTTGAGTCTTGAAGCTTCTCCAAATTTCAAGTCTATCCGATCATTGGTTTATTTGTGGCAAATTTTCTCGCTGAACTTTGCAGAAATCCGAGAGCAGTTTTTTATAATTGCCTTCTCACATCACCGACTTGTGGCGGCACGTGAATATGACCCTGGCGGCGGCAATGGCCGTATAAGATTCTTCCTCCTCTTAGGTTTCACCTCGTATATTCAAAACCATCTCCGGAACACTAGATTCGTGATAGGATAAGTATAACGAAGAAGAACGAGGGGAGAAGAAGATGCCGATGCGGCGGCGACTGACGCCGGCGCCGCGGCTGGTAGCGGAGGCAGGGTTTCAGCTACAAGGTGGAAAAATTATGGAGGGAGAGAGTCTAGGTTTCATGCTTGTGTTGTTTTTGTTTCACAAGACATATAAATCCTAGTTATATGGTCCTTGTGAAAATCCTAACATGCCTTAAGTTAGGCTAGGCCCAACAACTTAAGCCCACTTTCTTTCTCGGATCATTTCTAACAAACGAATGCTCGCAAAAAATATAACAATTATGTTTTGATAAAGAGAACAAAATTCTCGTCCATACGAGAACCACTTTGCAATTTTCTAATTTCTTAAATTGGAAACCATAATTTAGGACCTGCCAAATTGGTAAACTTTCCAATGTAGAAAGTTCACTAACTTTCCATCGAATTATTTTCCTCTACTTATTCTCATCCGTAATTAACAATTACGAATGTTGGACTCAATCACATTGACTTCCAATTACACTAAGATTACCTAATTATTGTTGCATTAAGGATCTCAAGTACACGAGCAGTGTGACCCTGGATGGTTCAGGTGTAAGCTAGCCGTGGGCCCACAACCCATTGTGGTTTAAACTTGTCTCTAGAGTTATAATTAAATTGAAGCTAGTTTCAGCTTAACTACCCAATGAATCAAGATTGGCGTCTAGCAACTACGCGTCATGATTCCCTAAATACAAATGAAGTGCCTGCAAGAACTGTGTGATATAGTTCACGTACAGTACGATCCCTTCGATACATATATCCTGATTGAAATAGAGGCATTGGTTCGTCAAGACCTATTTATGAGTTCAATAACTGTGTGGACGTTCTTGATTATATAATATATTCGTGTTTGACTTAGAGAAACGCATTTCTCTCATCACGACACTTTCAGCTTGGCCACAAACTTCATGGATTATAAATCGCTAGAACACACAGGATATCCATGACTGATCAAGTGATCGAATCCCCTATTACAACGCACAGACCTCCCACTAGATTTCGGACTGCACGAACATTGGCCCTTGGGGCGGTCCTCGGTGGAACTCAGGGACAGGTCACGATAAAGGTGTTCCTCTAGTGAAGTCACGGTGATGTCTGGGTCTTAAGGATTAATGGTGCACAACTATATCATAGAAACCTCTACTCGATTATTGGGAACCACTTAGAGATCTCTAGATTGAGGAAGTTCACTGAACTGATCAACTTATGAGCACCCACTTATGTATGCCGATGTCACAACACCGTTGACTGATGAGACGCAATACACATACACTAAGTGCTAGTCTCAAATGGGAAAGGCCGATATCCTCATTAGTGGCGTAACCCGTTGACTAAGAACTACATTTAACAGTTACTATACTTAAATAATCTCATGATTCTACTAGATCTATTTATAGTAATTAAGTAATTGTAGGGACTTTATCTATGCTTATGCAAGCGACAACTATATAGAATGTCAAATGGGGTTTTTCTCATTAATATGAAATAGATTATTTAAGAGTAGCATGAGAAAACAGAACAATTAGTCGGCTCTTCGGGTACCTACTCTAACAGGTACATCGATAGCGGTTGCAGTAATCACATGACGAGTAACGAGAAGATCTTTCAAGATATAGACAATTCCATGAAGACAAAAGTAAAACTATGCAATGGAGCCCTGGTGGAAGCTGAAGGTCTAGGCACAATTGTTGTCAATACTATGAAAGGTACGCGTCTTATTCAATATGTCCTACGAGTGCCTAAACTTGACACAAATCTCATAAGTCTGGCTCAGATAATGGAGAAATGATATTTTCTACTCTTTAAAGGAGACTCGGGCACAATATATGATAACAAAAACACAATAACGGAAATAGCAAAAGTTAAAATGCAGTAAAGGAGAATTTTTTCTATAAATTTGAAGCATGTGGAAGTAGCCATGAAGGCTCTACAAGATGAGTCATGGCTATGGCACCGGAGGAAAATATTACACCTCTAAAGAATTCAACAAGTTTTGCGAAGATGAAGGAGTGGAACACCAACTAACAGTTGGCTATGCTCCTGAGAAAAATGGAGTCTCCCAGAGAAAGAACAGAATGGTGATGGAGATGGCAAGATCTATTCTAGAAGAAAAAAGAATGCCGTAAATGGCAGAAGCAGTCTACACAACTGTATCTACTCAACAGATGTCCAACTAAGGCGGTGCAAAACCAAACACCTATAGAAGCCTGGAGTTGTCATAAGTTGTCAGTGAAACATTTAAGAGTAGTTGGGAGTATTTTCTACGTCCATATTCCAGCAGTCAAGAGGCACAAGCTTGAAGAAAAGACGGAAAAAAGAATATTTCTGGGATACAGTACAGAATCCAAGGGATACCGGATTTATCGTCAGTCGCGATGTCGAATTCGACGAGAAAGATGCTTGGGATTGGGATAAAGAGAAGATAATGAAGCAAAGCATCATGGTACCGAAAATACAAAGACCATCATCAAATCATCAAACAGTAGAACTGGAAGAAATGCAGACTCCTCGTGGAACTACTAGACGTGGAGAAATTACCAAAAAAAAGAAGAATCATCACCTGAGTCACCACCACCAAGAACAAGATCGCTCGAGGAAATCTATGAGTCGTGTAACTTTGCAAATATGGAGCCAAGGAGCTTCGAAGAAGCATCAAAGCAAGAAGATTAGATAAAAGCTATGGAAGAAGAGATAAGGATAATCGAGAAGAACAAAACATGGGAGATGGTAGATCGAACTTAGAACAAAGATATCATTGGAGTTAAGTGGGTTCACAAACAAAAACTCAATCCGGATGGCTCGTTTCAGAAGCACAAAGAGAGACTTGTCGCCAAAGGATACTCACAATTACCAGGTATCGACTACACTGAAACCTTTGCTCCCGTTGCACGCTTAGACACAATAAGAGCACTTATTGCACTAGCTGCACAAAAGAGATGGAAAATCTATCAACTGGACGTCAAGTCAGCCTTTCTCAACAGCTATCTTGAAAAAGAAATATACGTGGAACAACCACAGGGATTCGTGGAGAAAGAAAAAGAAGACAAAGTTTTAATTCTCAAGAAAGCCTTATACGGCTTAAAGCAAGCCCCACAAGCTTGGTACAATCGGATTGATACTTATTTCCCGAGTCGAGAATTTAGGAAGAGTCAAAGTGAGCCTACTCTCTTTATCAAGACACAAGGTACAACCGATGCACTCATTGTCTTTTTATACGTAGATGATCTTATATATACGGGAAACAATGAGAGTATGATTAAAGAATTCAAAGAAGATATGATGAAGACATTTGAGATGAGTGATCTTGGATCACTTCATTATTTCCTCGGCATCGAGATAACCCAAAAAGAAGATGGTATTTTCATCTCGCGGAGAAAGTACATCGAGAGTTTACTAAAGAAATTCAGGATGCACGACTGCAATCCGGTTGCTACACCTTTAGTAACTAATGAAAAACTAATAAATGAAGATGGATCACCAAAGGCGGACGATTCACTCTACAGGAGTATAATATGAAGCCTGCTATATCTAACAGCTACATGACCAGACATTACGTATGCCACAAGTTTACTATCCAGGTTCATGCAAAGTCCGAGTCAAGTATATTACGGAGCAACAAAAAGGATCCTTAGGTACTTACAAGGAACGAAGGACTATGGAATTTGGTACAAACCCGTAACATGCTCGAGTTTAATAGGCTACACTGATAGTGACTGGGTTGGATCATTGGATGACATGAAGAGTACCTCAGGTTACACATTTTCTCTTGGTTCCGGAATATTCTCATGGGCATCAAAGAAACAAGTATGGCGCAATCATCAGCAGAAATAGTGTGTATGGCAGCTGCAACAACTGCAGGCCAAGCTATATGGTTACGACGAATATTAGCAGATATGGGCGAGGAACAAACTAAGCCCACCACAATCTATTGCGATAACAAGTCTGCAATAGCAATGGCGAAGAATCCGGTTCAACCCAGTCGAACTAAGCACATAGCCATGAAGTATCATTTCTTAAGAGAAGCAGAAGTGAACAAAGAAATTCAAGTGAACTTACTGCCTGACAGACAAACAACATGCAGATATTTTCACGAATGCACTACCGCGCCCGAAGTTTGAAGAACTACGTACGATGCTCGGTATCTCCAAAATAAGCATTAAGGAGGAGTGTTGAAATTAATGCTCAATTTTGGAATATTCAAGAAATATTAATCTGGTAAAATAGTATCTAGAATATTCAAGAATAACTAGGATTGTAAAGAGAATTCTAGAGAAGGACTACTCTAGAAATTTTCTAGATTTATCCATGAAGCCTATAAATAGGCTAAGAGGCATTGTAAACAAGCATCAACTAAAACCAAAAAACTAATAAAGCCTTCTTCTTCAACTAAGTCCTATTGTCCCTTCTCTCCAAATAAATCAAGCTATTTCCATCTTACTATTCACCACCTCTCACAAACTAACAATAATATTGTAGATTTAACAAGATTTTCTTTGTTTCAAATATCATTTAGTATGTATACGGTATGCCCATAAGCCCTGCAGTTCTTTTGTATTTGTCAAACCTAAAAACTAGCAAAAACTTACAGGAAGCAAATGACATTCAGTGATTAAAGTTCAATAAAAGCATAATATAATTGTTTCATGTTCAATTAAAAATGGTATCTTTAATTTATTTGTGGGTTATATAGATCGTAATGTTCTTCCGCAGTCTGGCGGCTTGTTCACTTGGGTAGGAGACTCTACTAAAAAAATAGGCTTTAGTGACGCCTTAATGACGCTTGAATGTGACGCCTTGTACAAAGCGTCTCAACAATCTGTTTATTAGGACGAATTAAACTAAACAGATTCAGTTTGTTTACTGCCTTTATTTTTTCATTTTTTTTAATTCTTAAAAAATATATTATATGACATTTTTAAATAATTGTCATAATAAGCACCTAATAATTTATTTACCCACTTAACATAATTTATAAGATTTCCCGTACCCTCAATTTTCTTCCCCTACATCTAATTCGATAGTTCATAGCCCATCCAAATTGCACGGCGATTTTTGGCCGATCAGAATCACGTAAAAAAATTGTCGAAGAACCTCAACTTTTCGCTTGTAAAATGCCCGTCAAGGTAAATCTTAATCGCTATTATTGGGTTTCTTTCTAGTTTTTTTTTTTAATTGTTGTTGCTTGCAGTTTTGGGATTAATGTGCACTCCCCTCCTCCTATATCTAATTCGTAGCCCATTTTAATTCATGGGTGATTTTCGGCAGAGTGATATCACCCAAAACATTTAGTCGAAAAATGCAACTTTTTGCTTGTAAAATGCCGTCGAGGTAAAACTTAATCGCTATTATTAGTCTTCCTTCTACTTTTTTTTTAACTATTGCTGCTTGGATTTTTGGTATTAATCGGGGGAATATGTATGGGGTTGATTTCTTTTCAGATGAAAGTAAGAAATTTTATTGGTTTTGTGGTATTAGTCTATTAAACACATCAATTTGTTCAAATTAATTTGCAACTCATATTGATTTTGAGTTATTTTTAGATGGAATTAAAATGAGCTATGTTATTTTGCCAAATGTAATGTTGAATTAATGTTTTGTATATTAATGTGTCTATTCTAGTTTATTGAATAGATAAATATGTTCAATTTTTTGAATCAATTTAGAATATATTTCCTCGGTCGTGATAAAACTAAATGTTATAGATGTCTGAATCTGTATAAATTCATAAAAAAAAAAAAATACTACACATCAATGCATAGATGATTAGATCGTATTAAATTTGCATGTTTTCAAGATGAAAGTGTTGTTTATCATATTATTCGTAGACCGACTATGAAGACAAGTCATTTTGTCAATAACTTTCTTATTTCAAATAACTCTGTTCTGCCCCAAAAGGATAAATATTATTGTTACGATTCTAGACTTGTTTCTATTATGTTATATTCTCACCAAGTTGACTAGTGTTGGAGCATTTCTGGGATGTTGTTATAAGTATTCAGACCCAAATGAAAATGTCAACAATGAAACGAAATTGGCTGATCTTTTATTTCGATGGGACTAAAAGAACAATAAGAACATGGTAATCTTGTATACCATACAAATAAGAGGTAGCAGTCCCTTTGATGATTAAGTATTGAAAAATACTTAGCAGTGGTTGCTTGTGTTTTGTATTTTGAATATAACAAATATTTTTAACTTGTAACTCAAGTAGCTTGATTTATATCTTATTTGCTATACATCAGGTGAAACTCTTTTGAAGACAAATAATCACTAACGCACGTATTTGAAAAGGTTAGTAGGTGTTTCCAACAACTTCAGCGAGGTTATACCTATTGGATAAATTGTTGCAATGTGCTCTACAATCTGAGGTTCAATTATTAATATGTATACATGAAATAATTTGATATTCTGTGTGTATTAATTTGTCAAACTATTACCTTTGTAACTTAAGTTATTGTTACTTTCCTTTACTTCGGCTTATGAGAAGATTACTACTTTGTCATAATCTATATTTATATATGGGTGGTGCGTAGCATACGTACAGTGTTAACTTTCTTTAGTATATATTTCGTGTATAATTACTAATCATAAGTGTTTCTCTTTTTTGCATAGATGATAAGTGCTAAAAACCAAAGAAAAAGAGAAAACATATGCATCATTTTACATTAAGAGAGGAGTTTCACAGTTTCACTCAAGGGCATGTAACTGTTTTTTTCTTTTGTAAGATTAGATCCCACTAAAATATGTTTGTTTACTCCAATATTTTTGTAATTGAAATAATTTACATAT